GCTCTTTGGGAGCTCGCTTTGCTGTGGGGAGGGAGCAGGGGGTAGCTGCGTCGGTGGCCGCTCACAGTGATTTAAACCAGAGGTTCAGGTAGTCTCAATTAAGTGAATTAAACAACCCCTGCTGCACTCTCCACAGTGACTGATCCCCGTGACTCAGCCCCAAGCCCTGGGCGCGCTTCTGGCCCAAACAAACGCCAAACACTTAAATGGGGGAACAAAAAGCCTCTGAATGCAGCCCTGTGCCTGGCCGCGGCTTGAATCGGGCCTTTGACTCGCAGCCTCGGAGCTGCTGTTCAACAGAACAGCCTGCTCTTACAAGCAGAGGCGATGCCTAACCTCCAGCAGCCAGCACCCCCGCAGCCCGCGGAGCCCAATTCCCCCTCCACCCTGCGTCGGATGCCTGGCCTCATCCTGCTGCAGAGGGCTAATGCGGGCCTGTTCTCAGGCTGCCCACCGTTCACCAAACCTACTGTTAAAATACGCATGGGGAACCATCAGCCACACTTTGCCCTGGCTCGTGGTGCCCACGGCTGCTCCGCTGAGCTGGGTCCTCCCTGTAAGCTAGAGCACCTGCGTGCCTGGAGGCCTTGCTACATTGGTAAGGCCCAGAAAGGTGGGACGGAACAGGACTTTCTGTAAAAAAAACCACTTTAAGAAGCATAACGGACTGCAGGTCGTACCAGTTTGCTATTTAAATAAAGAACCCTTTTCACTTCAAACGTTTGCTTCTGCTAAGCCAGACCAGAGCTGTAACAGCAGGCAGAGAGCTGCAGCAAGCGCCCGCTCCTCGGGAAGCAGCACTGCACCTCTGACAGCCTTGCCTTACTCAGGCTTCTCAATCTGATAAAACGTCGCCGGACTCCAGTAATGCTCATCCGCAAAATTCTACCACCAACATAATTACAAAATAAAAGCATGCACACTGTCTTCACAGCTTCAAATTTGTATGCTTTTTTCCTCCAAATTTTTCCACTTCCTAACCCTTTTCTTATGTTATTTTCAAATAAAGTCTCTAATTTAAATATATTATTTTCCAATTAATTACTCCTTCCATATTTATAATATAGTCTTTTATGAATACGTAGTAACATTTCCCGGCTTTATGACGGATGTCTAACGCAGTTACTGCTCTGTCGTTCCAAAGTCTTCCAGGGACCATCGGAAACCTCAGCGACATCTAGATTTTACATTTTACTATCTCATCTGGGTGAAAGGCGTATAAAAAGCAAGGAGGCTATTTCATTCTCTGCTGACTACGTATCCATGATAGCTGTCAAGGTCAAATGCAAACAGTCCTTTCTCACAAAGCCTTTCTCAGGATGGGCACCGTCAGCTCTCCTGCTGAGCTGGAGAGAAGAGAACATGCCTTCAGTCACTAAGAAAACAAGACTTGGGAAGGCTCTGATAACTCAGGAATTAGTGGCATTCGTGAAACCCACGGACTCAGCTGCTGCTGCATGTTACTGATCATTTACTACCTGCATTACAACAGTTGGTAGTGCCCAGTCCTCACAGAGAACGATCAAAAAAATCAGCAAGACAGGACAAGCAGGCACACAACACAAGCTGGAAGGACAAAGCTGACAACCACAGGAACCCAAACTGTACAATCTGGACACTTCATGTTCCCTCTCTCTTACAGAGAAGCAAACAGAATATATTAATAAATTACTACTAGTTACAATGCCACTTGTCATGGGCTCCACATGGGAGATGGTCCTTAAGAAAGGACTGTGCCAATGCTTTTCCAACAGTTATGTTCAGTAAATCAAAGCTGAAAAATTTCATTTCTTTTCCCTACTGCAACATTGAAATTGAGGATTCTGGGTAAATCCTAAGGAACCCTGAAGCTCTGTATCGTGTTAGCAACGTGTGGCCCAAAGCCATCAATGACTGATACAATTACAGTGCTGACAAGCTCAAACAAACATTCCTGCCAATATCCCATGAGCAATTTTCGTACCATACTTCCAGTGCTTGAATCAACCATCTGATTGTGTCACGGCTCTAGGACATCTCAGTGACAGTGACGGCTGGGCTAGAAGATTCCACCTCATTTGTCACCTGACCAAACAGGTAGGCACGTAGGGCTCTAAACAGACCATGGAGTCCATTGCTTTTCAACACGTGAGATAAAACAATGTCACAAGAGAACGTGAAGCAAATTCTGTGCTCCCCAAGACGGTCCTGGCTCTGAAGAGGGAACACCCCGAGAGACGCTATCAGCCAGGGGGATGTACTCGGAGCCCCTTCCCCGCTCCATGCTTGGTCAGAGCTGCACACAACCAGCCTCATGCTAATAAATCTCAGTTAAAGCAGCTGTCGCGACCTGTGGCAGGTAACATGAAGGACCAGGGATGTGCAATCAAATGGCACATGCCACCCAATCATAGCTCCCTTCCCTCCTTCTGCGCACGTGTTTAGGGGCTGCAGTGTGACAAACGTGCCCTGCTGCTGGAGTAAACGCGAGGGAGCTGCAGACACGGCTGGAGACTGGACTGCTGCTGTGCACAATTATGCATTGTGTGTTCTGTCCCCCTCACAGCTGCAGTTCTGGGCTGTGGCATATTGCTGGACATAATGGGCTTTGACAGCACGTACTGTACACTGTGGGTGGGCAAGAGCTGCCTGGTGTGCAGCTCTTCGGATCTGTGTCCTGGCCATTCATATCACCTGCATCTGACTTGGCACTTGGCGGATGTACAGTCAACGCAGGCACTTTGTGAGGGGAGCAGCCTGGCGAGCAGCCAACGGCAGCAAGGACAGTCTAGCAGAAATGAGCTGCTGGTCCCAGGACCGTCACACACGTATGGGAAATAATTTCAATCCACCCACGCAAAGCTTCCCTTGAGCACAGCCCCGAATTCACCTTTACTCCTGCAGCCACGCTGCAGAGGTATCAACCCTACAGTCTGCTTCAACTTCTGCTCCTCTGTTCCTTTTTGATTTACGCTGCCTTTTGCTACAAAAATGCGTACCTTATTTAAATGAAGCATTTTAATTCCTCTTCCTCATATAGAAAGACCTCTGTTAAAGTGGGACTGTCTTGGCCACAGACATATGATCTGGAAGATAGCCCATCCATTCAAAGGTGCAGAAAAATACCTGGGCTACTCATGTGATTTGAACATACTCTTGGAAGAACAAAGCTGATAATGAAGCACTGGCCTACCTGCTCCTTTAGTAGATGATTTTTATTTTAGTAGAGGACAAAGTTATCATGAAATTTATACATAAAGACTGTTGAAAATGAGAGAACACGAAGATGTAAGAAGTCTGCTTTTTAATTCATGCAAACAGATAGCTACATGAAATTCATCATGAAAACTTGGCTAACTCTTCAATAGCGGAGAAAAACACACCCCAACTTTTCCCTATATTTTTGCCATATTTTCATTCACAATAGATGCGTATTAAAATAATTTTATAATGTGACAGGGACTAGGCATGTGCAAAACCACAAGGAGAGGGAACAGCCTTTGGTAATGTTACACAGTACTCAAGGTGAAGATATAATGGAAATACTTTCTGGATTTGGCTTGACATGCTGACATGACTCATACTACAGAGATGTAATATGTTGGCTATGTTCCACTAAAATAAAAGAAGGCTGTAAATCTCTGCAGTTTTAAATACTGTCATTACTACTAATGTGGAAAAAGAAAAATTGTATCAAGGGCAAGTCTAATCATAAAAGCATTAATTTTGCCAAAAAGAGTATCAGCTATAATTAAAAAAAAAAAAAAACAAAAAACCAAACCAAAACATTTAGGGGATTTAAGTTCAGGTGAGCTCACCCCATGGCTTCTCAGCTGTGAAACATGAAGTACAGGAGAATTTGCTGGTTCTGTGACAGTAGTTCTTATTGTGGCAACCAGGATCGACATATTAAAGGCAAAGCAACATTTCCCTACTGCTATCTTATCCACTAAAGCTGTTGCTATTACCAAGAGGATTACTGCAAATGAGATGTATTGTCTAGCAAGGAATGGTCCACACTGACATGCACTGTAGTGAGAGAAATATGCGCACAGAGTAGGTCCTGGCAATAAATATTTTCCTGCCTCAAAAGTCTATCAAAATCCACACAGTGTAGCACATCACACTGGCGCTGCTGGCTGTGACTTCTTCAAGGTTAGAATGTGCATTGTTTGCCTTGAAATTACAACAGGAAAAATGTTTATTTTGCACATGCGTCTTTCCACAGTTAACACGTACAGGAAATACTTCAGACCGGACAGAAAGGCAATCTCTCAACCACTACTCCCAGAGTCTGGAGGCAGGGCAGACCATTAGCTGTTAGTCAGCTGCTCAGCCCTAAGGAGCCACCCAAGGGTGCTCGGTCAGAACCAGCTCATCATGCGGCTGAAACCCTGCGAAGCACCTAATAAACTAGATATACGTACTCTGCTACG